CTTTCACCTTAAGGTAGTGCCTGTCCTTGAAAGTGAGATGAGTTTCTTGCACACAACAAAAAGATGGGTTTTGTTTCTTAATCCATTCAACTAGCCTGTGTCTTTTGACTAGGGAGTTCAGTCCATTGATATTTAAAGTTATTAATCGAAGATGTGTATTGAATCCTGTCATTTTTATTAAGAGAAGGAACTCCTGCTATATGTTACAACATGATTAAACTGAGGGTGTTATGCTAAGTAAAATAAGTCAGTTACACAAAGACTAATTGTTCATAATTCTTCTTAGATAAAATATCTAAAATGGTCAAATTCATAGAATCAAACAATGAAATGGACCACTGCTAGGAGCTATGGGGAGAGGGAAATGGACATGACTAACCAAGGGGCATACTGCTGCAATCACAATTTTTAAAAAGAAAGCAATTTCAAGCATTCTGTGTGGGTAAACAGTTTTTGATCACATACTCTGCAGTATGTTAAAAAACAAAACAAAAAAATAGCTTAAATATGAGGAAAAAAATCTTTTCTCCTTTTATTTTATAAAGGCTGTGTACCAACAAAATGCATAAGCAATGACAATGCCTGTGTGATGAATAGATTTCTGAGTCCTAGTTCAAGGTAAAGATGAAACATTTTCCTCTTGTTTAGTAAATGACTTCAAGGTCCTGTCTTAGATTACTTTAAGTTTCTTTCTTTTCACTTACTACAAGTCTTCTAGTTTGTTATGTGTCTTTGTGACAGGCTCTTGCTTTGTAGCCTAACTTGTGATCCCAAATGCTGGGATCACTGGTGTCTGCTGCCATGCCCAGTGCTATGCAGTCACGTTAAAGAGACCTGGTTGATTTAGAAAATGAAAATCTTCACCTTCACTGACAGTTCTCGTTTCATAGCATTGCTCTTAAATAGGTGCGAAAATTCTTGTTAAGTTTGTTCTCAATATAAAATAGGTGATAAAAACCAGAATTTTTCTTTCTAGCAAGAGTCATTAAAGTACAGCTTTAGAGAGTTAAAAGGGAGCAAAAAAAACATAATTGAGTCAAACTGGGTTTGGCTTACATATTTTTTAAAAATCAAAACCAATCAAAATGGTGGCTAATCTCCAAAAGAGGGAGTCCATTCCTGACACTGGGCTTTTTACTTGCTATTTTTACTTGCTAGTCTGTAGTGTCAGGTTGGGGTATTGCCCCCGCCCCAACAGTTTATAGGGTAATTCCATTTAAACACTTTTTAATATATGTATATGCATACATTTTTAGAAACTTTTACAGTAGGTTTCCATATGACTTTTTCAAAAGGCTTTTAGTGTTAGTTGTTCCTCTCCTTCCTCTTTTGACGTTGGTGGCCAGTGAGGTCCCATAGGCCCCCAAACATTATTGGCTATTGTCATTGCTCTTGGTTACCCTCCAGAGCCTGTTCCTGAAGACAACACATACTTGAGTCAGAAATCCAGGTGGTACTGACCTCAAAGCTTCATTCCTACTAACTTTTATAGTGTTAGAAGGTACCATATACACTATCAGAAGAGAAAAGTAATCATAAATCTTTCCTACCTGTGAATGACATGAGCTATAGTTATGACTAACCTGGCAAGATATGCCCATTGGTGCGTTAGTGGCACAAATATTATGGGAGTAATCAAATCTATGATTAGATTTAAGATCCGCTTCACGAGATAGAACCCATGCCTGGAACCATTTATAAAAGCCAAATACCTGTGGCTAGATAGGTCATAGACCTTACAGGAGATCCTACTACTATTATTTTGCTAAACAGACACAGTATTAAACAAACTCTTAATGACCAATCATGATAACCTCATCGGAGAAGCTTCTTTTTGCAGCAGATGGTGGTTGACATAAAGACACACAACTGGTCAATGTGCAGAAAGTAAGAAATGGCAGAGTACTCAGTCATAAATGGGACACCTATATTGCACCCCTTTCCCGAAGGCTCAGGGGTCATTATGAAAGAAGGGCCAAAAATTTGTAAGAGTGTCTCATACAGATGGGACTCTGATGTGCCTGTTGGATGGACCCAACACTCAGGGATATTTGGGGACATAAATCCAACTCCATAGGCCATGTTATATAATAAGAGGGTACATTAAATTGGGCAGCAGGCAGTGGGGGGAAGTGCAGCTAGGGGAGGGGATCTAAATACCATCAAACTATATTGTATGAAAATCACAAATATTCAATAAAAGTCATTTTTTTTTAAAAAAGGACACAAAGTTGGGGGCCTGGTAGGGAGGTGGAGGTGAATTTGAGAGGAGGTTGGGAGGGGATGAATATGATCAAAACATATTGAATGAAATTTAAAGAATTAATAAAAATATTATTTAAAATAGTGGTGAGCCAGGCATGGTGGCACATGCCTGAATCCCAGCCCCCAGGAGGCAGAAGCAGGGGAATCTCTATGAGGTTGAGGCCAGCACTGGATGGTCTGCATAGTTAGTTCCAGATCAGCTGGGGCTACATAGTGAGACCCTGTCTCAAAAAAATAAATAAATAAGACAAAACAAAATACGGTGGTTGATCTGAAAACCTGAAAGTACTCTGTGCTTTTATGAAGACTAGTGTAAATAGGAGATTTATAGGAGTGACACTGATAGAAGCCTACATGTTAAATATTCTATCCTATTTAACTTTAGACTAAGTACATGCATTGGAGGGCCTTGGTTTGACTCTATAGAGTACTCTCAACAGAATAATGCAAATGACAATTCAGAAGGGAAAGGCCAAGTTAATATGCCATCACACAGGGCAGTAGCTGGGACTTCTCTTTCCAGGAGGCAAATGGTGCAGTTTCACAGTGCCAGTGTGAATTTCTCTTAAAAACAGGCATTTTATTCACAAATATTTCTAATTTGGAAAAAAATCTATTTGTGTTTTAGGATCTAGGGAAATGAGTTTTCTAGACCACTAGAAAACCAAAGCCAGAGGTGCTGTTCTGTGACAGCTGAACACTGACTCCTTTGTCTGACTCCCGGCCCCACCCGGGATTAGGGTGTTGCATTGTTCCTGCTCTTTGGTTTAAAAGCAGAAGTAGTGGGCTGAACAATCCCATTAAACAGAAGCATGCAGCTTGCTAGTATGTGACACTTCGTGGAACAGGCCTTGTGTAAAATGGTGGAAAGGCTTTGGCTGGTTCTTTAGCTAAGGCTGTATGTTGCCTGTGATGAAAACAACCTCTGGAAAGTTGGTTTTCGGCTGGGACCCAGAAGCTCAAGATGTTCCCTGTTAACACACACTGTGAAGATCTCTGGCCTTTGTATTGTATTAATATCTACAGTTAAATAATACCTGGTACATGCCTTTATGTGCAAATGTGTTTCTGTAAGTGGTTGTGGGGAGGCATGCTCTCTGCCTATCCATGGTGCACAAGAAATACTACACAAATAACAATATATGCTTAGGAGTGTTCAAAAATTAAATATTGAAGTCATTTATCCCATCATTTAAGATAGAAATCTCACTGGAAGCACATTTCTATGTGAACTTATGCGCTATTACTCCAAAGGAAAATCTGCTGGTGATTTCTGTATAATGTTGGACATGAAATTATTTAACATTTTTAGGGTAGGGGAACCTAAAGGCTCTTAGATATTTTCAGCATAGTTTTTGGTGATTAGTCAAATGCTGTTCCTAGAGGTGCTCTTTCTAGTGATTTCTAAGTCAACCATGCAGTTATTATTTTAACAGAGAAAATAGAATTTCTTTTTATGTATGGAAAAGACTAGTTGAGATTTTAAATTAAATAAGGTATTTAAAGAAATTGAGACTACTGGAAAGCTAGCTACATATCTGGTCTCTCCAAGTAGCCTGGCTGTGAACATACATTGCTTTAACATACCACTAGGGGCTCAGTGCGAGGTCTGGGCAGGCAAGAAAAAGTCTCCCTCAGGAAGGTGGTAATCTCCAGAAGAAGCTGGCATGCTGCCATCTTCAGGGCAAAGGGACAGCCACATTTAGAGGGGTTCACTGTACCTAAGGAAAGAAAGAGTTCTTCATGAGACAAACCAGTAACAAATAAGGAAGCATGGCTTGATGGATCTAGGTTCACACATGCAAATTCAAAGATCACATGCAAGTATTACCTACACAAGCTCAATGACCTGTGCATGGTCCTACACCTTTCTCCTTCCACTTTGCAATTCTATAGCAAGTGCTTCAGTAGTAAAGTAACACATAAGTAGAAGTAAAATGTTCTCCTTACAGTATTATAAAGTATGAAAACACAGCTCCAATGAAACTAGAAGAGCTTTGAATGAAAACAGAAACAAAAATCCTCCATTCAGTAAGATGTAGACTGCATAGACAGTAATGAGCTATGTCTGAAACCATGAAAGTCCTTTCAGTTTATTTTATGAGGAAATATTTGTCTTGGTCTTCTGAGGGCTGGGAAGTTGTTTCAGCTCTAGTTGAGTTTGTGTTTGTGTATCACAGACAAGAGAAAAGATGTCAACTGGTCATTTACCTCACACATTTTGTCCAAGTTCCCCTTTTAGAGAAAAACAGAGCTGTACCAGAATTACGCAAATGTTCTTTTTTGCTCCCCCAAAATACTTGTCTTTTACTTTCTAAGACACTAAATCCACCATGGGCCAACTAACAGATTTTGGTCTAAAGACAGATAATGGCCAAGGAGTGACAGGGCTGATATTCTCTCAGGATTAGTTGTGATATTAGTATTAACATATACCATGAATAAATATTCTGATTACTTGGAAATGTGCTTGTACTATATCTAGTGCAAAATGCAACATAAGGTAAATCACATATAGCAATCTTTAATCAGTGGAGGATCACACATATGTCTTGCATTCCTTAGAGGATATAGGGCTCTAAAAATTACCTAGATATGAAAAACTTAAAGGAAAAAGGAAAAGTAGGCACTGCAATAGGGGCCTGTAATTCCAGCTCCTCAGAAGGTCAAAGCAGGAGGATTGCAAGATCAAGGGCAGCCTGGGTTACATAGGAAGATCCTGTCTGGGGAAAAAAATAATCGAGCAGCAGACATTCAATATAAATTTCTGTATCTGTCTCTTTATTCCCAAGGTCACCATGAGACTCTTCTTAAAAGTCTTGTAGGCAGTGAACTTGACTGTGGTATAGCCTCTCTCCTGACTAATTTCCCATTACAATGAGCAAGGATGGAGTTCTGTGTGGCCCAAACAAAAAGTCGACATGCCAGGCAGAAATGGAACTCTTATGGTCTAGTGCAGACTGTGCTTACAATGACCTATGAAGATGTACCTATTTAAGGTTGTGATGGCTCCCTCTGTTCTGAAGGGCCCCTGACAACCCCAGGGGCCTGCCTTTGGTTGGCTGGCATTCATGGGAGGTTATCCCTAGGCTTAGTGACTGATGGATAGTCCTTCAGTTTTCCTATGGGGCAAGTCCAACCTTGTGAGCCATTCTAAAAAGGCTACATTGCCTTCAGCACGAACTTTCGTCACTGGGCTGAAATACTCATATAGGGATTTTACTATTTTATCAAAAGATATGTCAAGATTTGCTTTGATTTGATAAACTGTGAAAAGGGGGCAAAATAACAGGGGGAATGAAAAACAAAATCCTTGATGCAAAAAGAGAAAGGAGCACAGTGAGAGTTCTATTGATTATCATTTATTTTTGTCCAAAGTTATATTATAACCATTGTTTTACACTTCATGACTGCAAGGATGCAGTAGATTTGGCATCGACTAAGAGAAACCCTTAAATTATAACCAGAGAGCTTGAATTGGACACGACTAGAGAAGGTTAAAAGGAAGATGTCCATCCTATAAAGACTCTGATTCTACAGGTAGAACTGGAATTTCTATTCTACAAAGACCATCCATTGTACACTCACATAAGCATGTACAGTACAGAGCACATATATGTACAAAATGGTACTGTAGACGATATAACAGGAGTCTCTTTTGTCTATAATTCTATGATGACTTCAATAAATACAGCAAAACAGACATTCACAGTTTAAGCAAACTATTTTAATTTCTTATGAATAAAGTAATGTACTTTGATTAAACATTTCAATAGTTTAGTGCTTTGGAAAACATTTCTTATCAGTGTGTGTGTGTGTGTGTGTGTGTGTGTGTGTGTGTGTGTGTGTGTGTGTGTGTGTGTGTGTGTGTGTGTGTGTGTGTGTGTGTGTGTGTTCGTGTGTGTGTTGTAGTTATATGTGCTTATTAGTATGGGCATTTGCACATGTGCAAGTGGGTGCACATTCACATACATGTGCATGCTTGTAGAGGCCCAAGATGGAGGTCAGGTGTCTTTCCTTGATTGTGCTCCACTTAAAAACTTTTTTTTTTTTTTTCAGACCAGCTCTTTCAGTGAACCTGAAGCTCATTAATTCAGCTAGACTTACTGGGCAATGAGATCTAGAAACTTGCCTGTCTCTGCCTCCCCAGTGCTAAGATTACAGGCTCCCACCACTGTTTCTGGCTTTTCACGTGGGTTCTGGCGAGCCAAGCTCAGGTCCTTGTGCTTGTGTGACAGACAGTTTACGACATGAGCCATCTTATAAGCCCATGGAAAGCATTTCTTGTCCAAGTTTATTTTGTCTGATGTTTTCACTTCCAAAAGCAATAATAACACAAACCTAAGGAAACTCCTCCCAGGAAAGTAATTGTTCACAACTGTGTTCTCTCAGAGAGGCGGAGTATGAGTCCATGCATACCAGTAAGAGTCAGAGGCTAAGGGTAATGGCTCTTCCACACTGCCTGCAGCCCTTCCTTTGATCCTTCTACTTTCTCTTCCTGGCTGTGTTGCCTTCTGTCTGCATGGCTGTATGCACATGTTTTATATCCACACACAGGGAGAAGGGGAATGGTCCATGGGAAACATGGGAGGCAGGGAGAGTATGAGAGAAAAGAAGCATTAAGTGCTCCTAAAGCAGAGGTTCTTACAAGCAGGGGCTCTTGTAGTAAAGGGAATCTCCTTACTGTCATCTAAAAAGTCTTCCTCCTCATCTTCCTTTCTCAGCCTCCTCTTGGTCTCCTCATCATAAATGAGGCCCAGCAAGTTGGCAGGGCTCTCGCTCTCTCCATGGCACAGCTCATTCAATCGGATGCCAATTGCCTACCAGGGGAAAGAAAAGAATGAAAAGCACAAAAGAGGTTAGATTCTAAGACAGGATCTCACATGACAAACACGCAGTCAACTAAAGGCTGGGCATGACTGCATGACTGTCAGCATAATCCTCCTCCGTAGCCCATGTGGCCCACCACCATGTTTGCCAATATGGGAACCTAGAAAAAGAAGTGATGATGCTATCTCCAGGGCCACTTGGTCTAAAGACTTGAAGAGAGTGGAATGACTGACTTTTGGGGGAACTTTTTGATTGAATTTTTGTGACTTTTTATACAATATAGTTTGATGCACTTAGACCTGCTCCCCTCGCACCACCTTCCCTCAATGCACCTGCCTAAGTTAATGAACCCTCATATAGGTATAAAATGTGACCTGTAGAGTAAGACTTGTGTCCCCCAAATATCTTTCAGTACTGATCCACTCATTGGGCCCACTAAGAGTCCCAACTCCATTAGACACTGGGAATGATATTTTTTATGCTTATACAAACATTTTCTAGAATATTCATCTAATAAGAGTTCATTTCTTGGGCTGAAGTGATGGCTCAGTGGTTAAGAGCACTGGCTGCTCTTACAGAGGACCCAGGTTTGATTCCCAGGACCCACATGGTGTCTAACAACTGTCTATAACTCCAGTTCCAGAGGATTCAACGTCCTCTTCTGACCTCCGCAAACACTGCATGACATGGGTGCATTTACATACATTCAGGTAATACACTCATACACAAAAAATTAAAAAATAAATACAGTATTTTTTAAAAGTTCATTTGTTTTGTAGGTCTGATATAAGGGAGCAGTCAGGTTTTGTGTGTGTGTGTGTGTGTGTGTGTGTGCACATGTGTGTGTGTGTGGTGTATAAGTATATGTGTATGGTGTATGAAAGTGTGTGTGTGGTGTATGAGTGTGTGTGGGATATGAATGTGTGTGTGGTGTATGAGTGTGTGTGTCGGGGGGGTTATGCACACACGTGCTCTTGTGCAAGTGTGAAAGGAGAATGTGCAAGTTCAAAGGAGAATGCTCTACTGTGCATCATTCTCAACCTTAGTCCCTGAAACAAGGTCTCTCTTTGAATCTTGAGCTAAGTTGGTGGCCAGCAAGCCCCATCAATCTTCCTGTCTCCATCTCCTCCCCATAGTGCTGGAGTTATAGGCAAGAGTGGCCACACTAGGCCTTTTAGGTGGGTCATAGGGATTTAAATTCAGGTCCCCATGTTTGTACAGAAAGTGTTCTTACCTACTGAGCCATCTCCCATCTGGCACATAGTGATTTTTAATGGGGGGATTTTACTGCAGTCAAAATAAAAAAGCATCACTCCATAGAATACTTCTGATTATGCTATTTTACAAGAATGCCAGTGCCATGCTAATGAGTTTGGAAGTTGGCAAGAGTTCCATTAGTGTGATTTTATTTATATTACCCTTATTATGCACTTATTGGTGTCTATAGACCTTTTACCCACTCCCAAGATATTCTATAAGTTACTAAGAAATGTTAACTGCTCTTCTGGAAGAGTACATAACAACCACATTAGAAACCAGACTTTTTAATAACTTGGCACATTGACAGTGTTAGCTTTCCCATAGTATACACAGAATCAATACCCTTGCTATTGGTGCTTCTGAATCATCAAGCACTGTTCCATGATTTATTAAAAGGAATTTTCTATAGAAGAAAGGGCAAAAATACTACCTCTATCCAATTCCTTTTGTTTCCCAACTATGCAGACTATGCAGCAGTGGAAGGAAAGACACAGGCTTGGGAAGGAGTCAGGAGAAATGCTAAATGGAGGACTAAGCTTGGGGTCTGACAGCTTCATGCTATGTGCATTGCTAAGACAAAAAGCCCAGCTCATTTTCTTCTTTCTTCCTGCACCATACTTTTCAAATATTTAGCAAGTTTACAAAACCCTGGGCATGCAAGGAATTAGACTCACTACTGGAAACCAACATGTACCCACTAGCAAACATGCCAAGTACATCCAGAATATTTTCTATAAAAAGCACAACTGTTTTGAAAATGCTAAAATTCTGGAAATAAAAAGGTCTCCTTAAAATGTGGAATTGGTTGATAAGCAATAAACCAGGAAGCAAAACCTCTAATGAGAAGGTAGTATAAAAATGTATCACAGTAGCCTCAGATTTTAGTTGCTAACAAGTAAGACAAAGTCACAGCAACACCAAAAGAAAAAGTCCGCCTCCTGAGGTTGAAACATGTAATTTTGGGTCTGGAGCAGTGCCAGCCAGCTGAATATGAGACACAAAGGAGTAATTTTTTATATTGATCCTTCTGGGATACTGTAACTAAACATTTTAAATTAAACCCATGGTTTATAAAGTTGAAAGGATTTTTAAAAAAATGAACTTTCCTGAGATAACACTAAATATCTATATAGTAATCTATAGTTCTACTTCTCAGGCAAACGTGGAAGAATGCCTTAAGGATATGTAATTCTTTTCTTCCTCCATTTATGAAAAATTTCTAAAGTGAGGTAATTTGTAAGGTATTAAATAAAACACAAAGCTAAATGAGCTGTCAGAGTACACCAGTACCTTTGTTACATGTACACCAGTACCTTTGTACATTATAAATGCACTTCCGGAAAGATCACAACCAAATCAGAAAGTTAGAGCAGTCAAGAGACTAGTTGAAGGCTGTGAACTTAATTCAAACTTGTGCCCATTTCCCTAATACACTCAGAGTCTCTATGAGAGGTAATAACATTAAAATAACATGTGAAGACACTGAACACAGTTAACTAGTTCAGAAGATAAACAACAGATTCAGTTCAAAGACTCAGATACCTCATTACTGCAACTTGGAGGAATTATTGTGTTGGCTGACAGAGAGTAGAGAGAGTAGATATTCATTTGGAGGGTCCTAAAAGTTTCTATGTTTTGGGAAATGCATCAGGCATTCAAGGACTGGCCAGGAAGACGTGTAATTGAAGCATAATTTCATAAGAGGCGATAAATATGGAGGAAGGCTGGAAAGGTCCCTTGGAACTGGCTAACCTAATGAGCCATCTGAGGGGCAATGTGCTGGCTGCTCAGGAAGGCAGTGAAAAGACATGGAGTGTGCCTTAAAAATTATCTAGTTATCTGTTGGTGCAAAGGCTTAAGATAAATATGCTTAGGTGCACGAACTCATTCAACTTCACCATCCATAATCTTAGAAATGGTTTAAAGAAAGATTAGACAATGATGCCAAACCAAGCTATTGAGTCAATGGGAGTATTTTCTCCAAACCACTCAACCAGTGTTTTTTAGAGTGAATCAGAGGGGTCAAGTCTGGAGGCAGAGAAAACAGTGTGCATATCCTGTTATGGATGGTGTCCTTTGGAGATGACCTGACCAGCAGTGCGCAAGATGGGTTAGATGAGGTGTGGCTGTGGGGATGCGACTAGATGGAAAATAATCATTGAGATAGGGGAGTCATGAAGAGTAGGCCTATGAGACTGTGTGACAAGGAAGAGGTAGAGTCAGCAGGAGATTTCAAATATGCTCAAAGGTGGGCGTGTCAAATGATGGTGTATACTAGTCAGAACAGAAGCTCAGAGATGAATGGAGATGGGTGTGTATTTAGGAAGAAGAGTTTTATTTTGGTCAGAATAACTTAAAAGATATGACAAAATGCTTCCAAAATGAAGTGAGTAATATTGTTCTGGGATCTGAAAAGTGCTCTTGACTGGGCAGTCTGTGCCACTGTCACATAGCACTCACTGGACACACAGGAACAGTGTGACCCTGAGGAAGATCACATAGGAAGACATTACAAGAGCTCTCAGCCAATCTCTATATACAGAGAAAGGAGGTGAGGGCAAGGGGAGGGGACACTCTTCAAATGAGGTAGGGAGTCTACGCAGGGTCAGAATGTCTCTGCATAAAGAAGAAACTGGTCACTTTTTTCTTCAAACCCACATCAACTGGGAAATCAAAACTGCTCAAACTTTTAGGAATAAGGGTAAATAAAAGAATAAAGAAAGGGATTTTACCATGAGAGGCCTGAAAAGAGTAATTGCTACTGACAGTATTTTTAATATTATTTTTGGCAGGAAATAAAGGCATTATTGGAAAGGGAAAATAAAGTTAACAACCAGAAAAGTGGCTTGATAATCTACCTTAGTGACCTCAAATCTCATTTCTTATTGTCTAAGATCTCAGCTTTGATCTATCTCTGGCAAGGGAGTCACCCCTAGTTTCACAAAGGTTCTGACACTCATCTGTGGGAGAATGGGAGACAAGGGGAGGATGAAATAAAAACCCTGGGAGTCCAGACGGCACTGGGTGTGAGGACCCTTTGCTTGGGAGAATTTTGCATTCTGAAAGAGGAAGACTTGAAGAGTAGTGTGGAGGGCAGCTTCGTTAGTGTTTCAATAGAACCTGCCTCTCTTATAGACACTCCTAATTAAAATAGGATGAAAATAACTCTATTATATGCCACTATAAAGGTGGTAAAGCATGAAGAATATTAGAGTTGGAATAACATTAATATAGTTATAGTACAAGAATTATCATTTGAAGATTTTTAAATAGTGGCCCATAAATTGCTGAAGTTAAAAGCAATTTTACTGATTATTGGAAAATTATTGTTTTTACTAAATTTAATTTAGTTAAATTAATATTATTATTAAATTGGTCTGTTTTTGTTCCTCTAAGTAGTAGACTTTCAAATGCAAATGGTCACCAGTAATACATCTTTTTTGTGCCTTAATATGTTTAATCAATCAATTCAGGCCTCACACATTCCATTCCTCTGTTTTTTATACAAGGGCGCACATAAAGAGGTAAATCTTCTTGGGGAGCATTCTGTGAAATCCCTAAATTTATCATACAATTGATTATTTGTTGTACTGAAGACTCATGGGTTTGGTATTAAACTATAATTGTCTTTTTTTGCTTCAACTAAAAGAAAAAAAAAAAAAAGAATCTGGGTTCCTTCCTCCGGCAAATTGCACATACCTGACAAATGTGTTTGTAAGTTATTGCAAGAATTCTCAAATGTATTTTTTAAGATTTTATTTTTATTTTAAATTATGTATATATTTTACATGTCTGTGTGTGGGCATATGCACATGTGAGTACAGTGTCTGTGGAAGCCAGAGGGGGTGTAAGATCTTTGGAGCTGGATTTACAACAGTTGTGATCCACCAGACATGGTTGTTGGGAACTGAACTTGGGTCCTCTGGAAAAGCAGTACATGTTATTAACCACTGAGGCTTTACTCCAGTCCCTCCAAATGTATTACACTTCTGTCCTCTTTAATGTTATTAATAAGATAATGATTCATGCAGCAAAAACTCTTCAAATAAAATAACAGCAGTATTAGTTATTTATAAATGATAGCTTTTGTTTATTTGTTTGTTTGTATGTTTTGGCCTGAGAGGAAATACAGTAATTAAAAGTTACTCTATCTTCTGAAAAGATTGAAAGGATTGAAGAAAAACATTATATATCTCCACTTTCTTCAGAGTAAGATTGTCCAAAAATACTTGGGCTCTTGTGGAAAATGAGAAGACTTCTCACCATGAGTGGGGTGAATGGTTCAAACATGATCTGAGATAGAAGATAAAGGAAGTTAAAAATAGGAAAGATCTTCAGTCTGCTTGCTTTCATGTGGAAAATTAAAATTTCAATCTGATTATTTTACTTTGATAGTACCAAATTCAGTCATTCTTTTCAAAAAAGAAATGTTATGCCATATTTTAATAACAAGAACACTAAATTTGAAAGAACAAGACTTGGTTTTATAAATATGTTTAGTGAGAAAGCTTGGGCTATAGCTTGGTTATCGTCTAACAGAGGGGAGGCCATATCACAAACTTTAGGATGAAAATGTACAGGGATTTGGGGTGAAGTCTCAGCAAGAGGTTCATGCACGATTTGATTGAAGAGCACAGCACAAAGAATAACACATCCTCCAACTGTCTGACCTACATTTCCAGTAACCTTGTTTCCATATTTCTGTCTTTAACATCTTATTACAGTATTGTAATCATCCTGTAAACACATGCTTTATAGATTATTTAAAAGGTCCCATGAAGATGGAGTTTAGGGATAGCTCACCCCCAGGGTCCCCCATCTCAGCTATGCTTCCTCTACCAATCCTGCACATCACACTTCCAACATTTCTCTTTAGCACAGTTACCAAGCAAATTAGAGCCATCTATCTCCTAGGAAAATAGGTTTTATTGGAGCTCTGTACAAAGGCCAATGAAAACCTTCAAAGAGAGAAAATAAATACCCTATACTCCCAAAATATCCACAAAGTGGCAGAGTAGCAATTAATGTGATGATTTTGAATGTCAGGACAGATTCAAACAAAAGTGACAAGATTCAGATGGAGTTACAGTATGAGCAGGGTGTGGGAAAGATAAGGATTTTTTTTTTCAAATAAAAAGAATACTGTGGCAACCAAAAATATAAAGATTTATGTTTTTAACATCCTCTAAGAGAGACAATGGTGACTGTTTATCATTTGTTAATTAATAGTAAAATTTGTAGACAATATAGCCTCAGCAGGGTCATAAATGCACTTTATCTTCTCTAAATATTGATGACAAAAAAAACCAACTCTGGGATACAAACTGCCTTAATTAGAAGGAATGAACAACTCACATGAAGATCTGAAGTTTGGTACTCACATGTCATCAAGTTCAATAATTTGTATGTATTTATTATATTCCATTATAATTTTATCTATACATAGCAGAATAGTTATTAATATTTACTTATTTATATATTATGTGTGTATGTTTTGATATACTGATTAGGCCAGGCTGGTGATCCAGAGATCCACCTGTCTGCCTCTGCAGCGTTGGGATTACAAGTGTGCACCATCATGTTTGGCTTTTATTATTTTTATTTTATGTGTATGAGTATGTAAGTGCACCTGTGTCATACAATGCCCACGGAAGTCAGAAGAGGGTGTTGGATCCCCTGGATCTGGAGTTATGGATGGTTATTAACTACCATGTGAGTGCTGGGAAGTGAACTTGGGTCTTCTGAAAGGGTAGCCAGGGCTCTTAACCACTGAGCCATCTCTCTAGCCACACGGATTTTTAAAAATGTGAGTTTGGGGGGTTGAACTCAAGTCTTCATGCTTAAGCAAGCACTTTACCAAGTGAACTATTATCCAAGCCCCAGTTATTCTTGTTTTAGCAGTCTGTCTAAAAATGGATTAAATCAATTATTCCACACTGAGTGAATAGATAAACAAGGAATTATACAATAAAAAAAAAGTCAAGATTTCAATGAAAAATGTAGGAATGACGTTTATAAGATGGACAAAATCTGGACTACTGCCCTATAATTAACCTTGCAACCAAAAAGCTATTGCAAACAAACTCAGTAAACCACGTGTTCTTGTAATCTAGGCACTTGACCTTGCTCCCTTGGAACCTAAATCTGCCTCTCCACCCAAGATAGTGAATGAATGTGGGTGTGCTTGGGAATTCACAAATCAAAGTGCTGAAAGGCAGTGTGTCACAATGAAGACTGAGAAGAATGCCTGACATTATATGTATGAGATGTTTCAGGCCCAGGGAGAAGGACGAGATTGATAGGACTAGGGTGGATTCAAGTTTGTAGTTCCCCTAAACTGAAGCCGGAGAAATAGTTTTGAATAAAAGTGTGGGTTAGGTCTGACTTAGCAGCACACTTCCAGGAGACATTTGCAGGAATGGTTGCCCTCCATGTTCAGGCCTACTTTTAAGAGGTTGTTTATTCAAGCATAACTGTAATGTGGTATAGTAATGATGCAGGGAAAGCAGCTCAGAATTTAGGTTCAGTGTCTTTAGTCTCTAGTCTAGTGAAGATTCATCTCTAACTTAGGAATCTTAACACAATGCCATGTACATGATGACAGGCTTTTAATAATGTATTTTCTTTCCTGTGCTCCTATGACTGGTGAATCTGTGTATCTCATGATATACATTTCAGTTACACTGCCTGGTTTGTGTAAACGCCTGTGTTTAATGTTAAATCCAAGGATAACTAATGTAGAAAAAGTATACTGGCTTATTTTAAAAAGCTGAATATTACATGAGGGAAAATCGTGTATAAATTGTACAATAGACTCCTGAAGAAGGCAATGCCAAGCCCTAATCACGAATGCTAGCATTGATAAAGAGTGCCGTCTGGTATCTAGGAAACATACTTCATATATTTTATATAAGATGTTTATGTAAGGCAGTTTAAAGGAAAGCCATAAAAGAAAGAAAGATCGATAAATTCATTCTTATGGACAGACCACAGATAAACTGGATCTGGTTCATGTCCTCTGAATCAATTTGCAAAGAAGATGTGTCCAAGACTAGAAGAAGAAAAATCCCATTAGTGGCATTAGTAGATGCACTCAGCTGAAATACTGAAGGAAATAATGCCAGTAACTTCAAGCACTCTGAGGATAAAGGGATCTATGGAAATCTTTGTGTACATTCAAGTCTCCCTGCTTAACATTAACATAAAAACCCAGTCTTCTTGAATTTCATTTTATTCCTCACCTTTTCCCTTCTTATAGTGAGAACATTAGAATTATAAGGGCCAATCTTATCATCATCATCATCATCATCATCATCATCATCATCATCATTAGTTTTTTGAAACAGAGTTTCACAATGTAGCTTCAGCTGGCCTGGAACTTGTGATGTAGACCATGCCAGGCTGGCCTCCATTTCACAATGATCTACCTACCTCTGCCTCCTGAGTGCTGGGGTTAACAATGTGTGTCACCTGCCCAGCTTATTGGAATTCTTAAAGCAAAGCAGAGTCATTCATTTCTTAGGTATTCACTTATTCATATGCATATTTTGTGTGTGTGCATGGGTGAGGGTCATCAAAGGCTTTCAGGTAATTAAGAGATAGCAGGTCAACAAAAGAAAAATATTTTATTCAGAAATTCAGGGGAAGAGGCTCATGAGGTCCAACTGAGGGCAGTTAATGGGTGGTGGCTGAAGGGCATTATTTTCTTCAGTGGTGTAGTTCTGGCAAGTTGTCCACACTCTAGTAAATAATCCCCTCACACTCACGATTGTGTAAGCAACCGCAATTAGACTCACTGAGTCAGTAATAACAAAATCCATCAAATTAAGAGGGAACTTGTTGCGAAGAGTTTCAGTGGGAGGGAGGTGAAAGAGGGTAATGAGAAAGGCATGGAAATGACCAAAACTTCAGTATGTGCATGTATGAAACGGTCAAAGAAGAGAAATTTAAAATTTTAAAACAAAATTGGAAAAAAAATCATGTTTTAGGATATAAAGTTTTTTTTTTTACAATGACTTGATCACAGAAATGATTTTTGAATTAAGTAATTAAAGCAAAGTGCTAGAATATAAGATGGGAGATGAAATGTTGCCTCCCCTTATATGGAAACTCTGGCAAGCTGCTTTACCTGCATAAACTTCAATGTCCTTAACTATAAAACAAAAATAGTAATATTTAACCTCACAGACTTATTGAGATGATTAAATGGTTAATTTTCCCCCAATGTGGTTCATTCAGTGCCTGGAATATAACAAACATTCAATAAATTTTCTCTAAAACAATTTCATTAAAAGAAACTTCTTCCTTTCACTCAAATGTCTTAAGTTTTATAGAAGAAAATCAAAAGCTCACATCTCCCCATTGGTAGAAGAGCTTGGCAGCGTTCCACTGGAGTTTCTGGTTCCGCTTGTTGCCCACGATGGGAGACCGGCCCCGGGAAAGGCCTTTCTTGGTGATGTTCACATGGTGCCCTTTCATCCACTCTGGCCAGTTGCCACGATTGCAGCGGTGAACAAAACGGGCACATTCCAGGAACAAGGCTGCTCTGGCTACCACAGGAGCTTCCTGAGCAGGGTTGATAAGGACAGAATAATGTGGGATTAATAAACAATTTCATAAGGTAGGTCTCATTTGAAATGATTATGTATTTCTTGGTCTATATTAGTCTTGATATTTTAATTTAGCTTGGCCATGTTGCTCAGCAGAGGAATCTGGAAAATGAAGCACAAAGGCAAACTTGGATACCGAGGAATTAGATGTTCTAAGAGGTCCCTTGTGCTACCTTCACCTTCTCAGTTCTTAACTACATGCTTCCATTTCGTATACTTACCGGGAACTAGGATTTGAATGTAAGTGTGAAAAAGCTTAAAATAATCAAAAACTTAAAATATGAAGCTTTAAAAACACTAACATTTTAGCATGAATAAATAAATATTCTATTTCTAGAATGAATCTTATTTAAATCCTGGGTGTTGTGATGCCAGACCTAACTACTCTGTTATCTATGATCAAGTAGATACTTCAGGAGATAAAACTGTTACTTGCACACTCTAATAGGAACAGGAAGACTTTGTTGAGTTTTTTTCCTCTGAAAACCAGACCAAATTCTAATTAATAAGCATCATTTGAGTTGAAAATATTTGACAAAGAGGAAAACATTTAATTGATAAATGAGAAACAGTACTTTTTTTCTAGGAAAACAACACAGGATTCCCTCTCGTCATGCACTGGTGTATTTGAAAACAATAAAAGCAGCAGTTTGATATCCAGAAACCAGAAAAATGAGATACTCTACTGAACTCTTTAAAATCTAGCATACATTTGGAGAAAGAGGAAGAAGGAAAAGAGGAGGAGGAGGAGGAGGAAGAAGAGGAGGAGGAGGAAGAAGGGAGGACGAGGCCATCAGTAGGTCATAGGAAAAATATAAAGTATTACATTTCATTTTTATTTTTGCCAACTTTTTAATATCACAATGCTGCCATCACCTTCGGGTTATTACTAATCATAAGCTATTCAGTAATGATAGATTTTCAGATTGAAGAAATTTTCATCATTTCACACAATAATGTTCAGAACAACTTACTGACATATAATGTTAAAATAGGTGTTATGTAGAGAAATTTATGTCACAGTTAGCTTTTACAAATTATAATAACACTCTCATCTAGAAATATCCTCATTTTAAGAGTTTTTAAAAATAGATCATAATTTTCCCACTATCACAGACTGGGAAGGCAAACACACAGTATCCAGCATGATGCTCTTCAACACTTGGATATATACTATTTTATTTATTATTTTTATTTTATGTGTATGCATGTATTGCTTGCATGTAGGTAAGTGCACCCATGTTGTGCAATGCCCGTTGGAGGTCAGAAGAGGCTATCGGATCCCTTGGGACTGGAGCTACAGACAGTTGTTAGCTGCCATATGGGTGCTGGGATTTGGACCCGGGTCTTCTGCAAGAACAACCAGTGTTCTTAACCTCTGAACCATCTCTTCAGCCCCAATTTATACTCTTGTAAATCTTAGCAAAAGATGATTTTTAAAACATAGGTGAAAATTACTAAAAATAGAACATCAGTCAATACGAAAAAATTTAAAACACACACCACAAGCATTTTGCCATTCAGACTTCATTATGGGTTCTACCACCTTGGTCATTTAATGAATAAAGATGCTCAGCCTCTGTGATTTGGTTTGCCTCTCTTTCCATTCCCTTCTCAGGTGCTGTACAATCCAATCACCTCAAACAAGCACCAGTCTTCCAAATGCAGCGTCTTATGTATGTGGTTTCCATGACTTGCATCCTTTCCACTTCTCTGCACTTGGTAAATTTCCACCTTCAAGATGTAGCTAGTTATCTCCTTTGAAAAGCCTTCCTTACTCCATGCTCTTTAGGCAGAGTTGCTTACTTTCTATTTTGATTACTACAGTATCTCAAAGGCCAGATGATTAAAGTAAATTGCCATTTCCTTGTTGTCTATACCTGAAATGTGGGCATTAAGAATCCTATAAACTTAATTTAAAAAAATTTAAAATAATGTAGCTAATGCACTGCAAAAATTCCAGTAAGAAACACACTTACGAGGGGTTTGAGTTTGTGAAATACATTATTATAAGACAAAAGTTAATATATAAGAATAGGCAATATACAAGCTAAACGATGTTTTGAGAACTGTCGTTAATACAAGAGTCACAATGATAAAAATGGGGATGGGACCCAAGACTTGGAAACAGGTTACAGGAGTAGTGCATTTTATGTTGCCAAGAATCTGCATCAAGCACATGAATACTGAGATGACACTGCGCACAGTCTAAATATCTACACTGCTTCTTGTGTTCAGAGTTTCCGGAGCATATGAGATATACTAGTCTGCATTTGAAAATGGCTGAGACATTTGTCTCTAGAAAATGAATACCAGTCTGTAGGGCAAGGTCATCACTGCAAATTTATTTTTGCTTTCTACATTATGACACATTGTCAACATAGAGCAATATGAATTCAGTGCTTAATGATGGGAGACAGAAATGACACCACTTCAATACCACTGTATAGTGGGCAAACCTTGGCTCTTACATGACTGAATGTGAAACTTAACTAGGGCCATGCAGAGTCATTTCATTGCCCCTAACTATTAGATGGCAACTGAGAGGTTGAAAAATAGATGGAAGGAGGTATGTGAGGATGTATAAGAAGTTTGAGGAAATTTTAATTGAAAAGAAATTTCAATTCTCTGGCCTCAAAAACTTAACATAAAACTCAGCTGTTAGCAGCACATAGTAATTTGAGTCTAAGTTTGGAAATGCGTTTGAGACTAATATGAAGATAACTCTCACGATTACACAATACAGCATGAAGAGAGTGCTGGAAATTATTTGACCCATTCTAAATCCAGTATCATTGGGAGATGTTACTGCTTGCATGAAGGAATGATGTCACAGAGTTATTCAAATATTGGCCTTTTATAGTAACCCTTCCGATCCTAATAGATGGAGGCAGGCTTGAGAATTTTATTTTCAAGATGATGTGCATTATGCCAGTTTTTGGAGCATCATGTTGTGCCTATTAACATAGAGGAAACTTGAGGAGATGCTGAGGTATATCACTAAGGACACTACTATGCATTGTAGTAGAAGATGCTAAGCAACAAGAATTAAGTTCATAATGTGCATGCAACAGCATCCAAGGTATTTTGTGTATGGCTGTGATGAATTTTTAAAGTACCTTTTAAATTGTAATTTTGTAAAGATTTGGGGGGGCAGGATTATGGAATATTTGGGACAGAGGATTCTTCCTGGACATAAAGGAAAGTCATCAATATTCGTCTTTTGATGGAGCTTACCTCTTATAGCTCAGTGCAATCTACAGAAGCAGCAAAAGATGGAGGGATGACAGAATGGAGAAGGATGGTTTCATATCACAGAGAAACACATCACAGAGAAAATGAATCCAGAGAATGCTGCATGGCTGAAAAGAATCACCAAGCATCAAAGGCACAGTTATGATGATATGAAAACGGGAGCTGACAGCACTGGCCTGCCACAGGAAGTGCGACTGGTAGTCCTGAAACATAGCACAATGTCTTCTTTCTTACTAGTCTATCTGTCCAGATCACTTTTTAGTAACTATAACAACACAGAGCTGTTTCTATTCCATAATGCCACAACTTAATAGTTTACATACATGTAAGAATAAATTTTGACTGGGAAAACAAAACATATTAGGTTAAATGATATTAATTAGAATCTCTAAATTTAAAGGTTAATAAAGGTCAAATATCAGAAATTTCAAATAATTCACTTGCTTGAATAGAAGGTGTGCACTACACTCTCTGATGGCTACAGAGTTGCTCAGTGTAAGTCATTAAAATCATGAGACTAGCATTATGCAGTTTGAATTTCTGGAACATTGCAACTAGAAAACTTCAAGTGTCCAGCTACTTAATTTTTTTACTATATTCTTCTGTACTTTATGATAGTTATAGATATTGAATGTTTCCTTTGTGAAAGTGAGGCAGAGAATTGAGACACTAATCCAAACAGCTGTGCTACCTTTTGGCTGGGGACCTAAAAATATATTACCAAGACACAACAGTTAATTGGAGGGTATAATTGCAATATATTCCTCTCCCTGAAGGACTATATCTGAGCTTGTTACATGAGAAGTAACCCCAACTGATCCTGAAAATTTTATATAACACCAGACAGGAATGAACTGTTTTTGAAGACTAAATATCTTATGTTGGTCCCTGGGGAATTATATAATTTTTATTGACTTACAATAAAATACAAAGGGTGTGTTGGTGTGAAATAACTGTTTGTTTAAAACCAATGGGAATAAGCAGCTTTTGCAGGTCTCAGTATATGTTGGAACCTTTTAGCCAGAGGGCATATACATCTGAGTCAGTATTTATTACCTAGCTGGTATTGAATTCTCTTCCTGACTGAGATTTCTGAGTAACAAGACACATAAACTGACAGGCTGCCTTTGCCTCCTTCAACAGGAGCTGGGGCAGGCTGGGACAGGCTTGATTGTGTAACACATGATCTGGATGGCTGGTTATTGTCACATTTGCTCAGACCCTGGTTATGTTTTGGGTAATTTTTTAAAAACCAAAATGAGGTCTTCTGTTTCTGACAGTATGATGGATTAGGTGTAAAAAAAACTTCCTTTGTTTTAAAACATCTAAAAATGCTGGACAAAGTACCCAATTTTTTTTGTTTGTTTGTTTTTATTTTCATTTCTAAAGTGAGATGGAAGGCCTCTGAAGAGTATAAAGTTCTGGGGTGGGGGTGGGGTGAGCTAGCATGGAAATATTTGCATTGAGTATTTTTCCTGGCTATAGAGAGATAGAATGGGTTTTTAATGGTCCATAAGTTAAATATATAGGCTTAAGCAGGTAGGAGTTAGGCCAGACCATCTGGTATGAGGCTAGAATCTCAGATAGGAGCCAATCACAGTGCAGGGATGAATATTGATGATACTCTGCCCTACAGATTTGAAACTACAAGCTGACAGGTTGCCTCTGTCTCTTTCAACCTCTGAACTATCTATAGAAACA